GCCCTTTGGAAAAATATTTGTGTAAGGAGGAGAGATAGACGTGAGTGGAATAAGAAAGGCTTTCCCATGTCTCAGATTAGGGCCATTCTCAACCTCAGAAGAGTGTTCTTTAGGTGTGTATGTACTACTTCCTTGAGGAGATACACAGCTTAAATTTGTGACTTTAAGATCTATGTTAGTAATAGATCCTTATTTTTTATTTTAATAAATTTTAGTTTAGGAGTTCCGTGTGCTTTCTCATTCTAGGAAAGAAAAGAACACTGTCTGAATATTGATCCTTGGAAATAACACTGCTGCTACTGCTGAAAGCAACTTAGATGGGACTTCCTGCAAGGCACCGTTCTGAATGTTTTATGTATACTCTAGCTCCGTCCTCAGCCTAGCCCTCTGAAATAGCTGTTCTGTTGTGCGTCATCCGTCTAAAATGTGTTGACGGTGCATTCTTGATCTTGCTAGAGGATGCTTATGAAAGTTTTTCACACAACTGTATTTCTGGCTTATCTAGCATTTGTGAGATATAATTACAGTTGTAAAAATATGAAACTGCACATGAATTTTTCTTTTTATATATATATATATATATATACACACACACATATATATATATTTTTTTTTCTGCTATAGAGCAAGTGTTGTCACTGTCACTGAGGGAAAGTGAGATAGAGGAGAAAGAGAGAGGGAAATCACCCCCCCCCCAGGGACTATAGCCACGTCATAATGCCTTCTCCTGTCGGGGTTTCTGACATGCACGCACATGTGCCTGGTGTGTTTCTCAAGCCACCAGCTCTTGGACTTGCACTGTGTGCTTGGCCGTGTGCGATCCAGTGCCAAAACCATCACACTACCTACTGTCCCAGCTGCACTCCAATTTTAAAGACGTTAAAATAAGAATGCATATGCCTCTTAGAATTAATAAAATAGGATATCATTCCCTTTTCACATTTTCCTGAAAGAGGTTATTTATTTCCCACAGTTACATGACTGGATTCAAATCCAGACTGTTTGGTTTTAGAGCTGGTGCTTTTAACCTTTTTTCTCATTTCTTACCAATACATTGGATCAAGCCCATGCTACGTGCAGATAGACTGACCGTGACCTGGTTACTTCTCCCCTCATGGTGACAGAACAGCACCGATTTCTTCTGAAGGAGACAATGTGTACAACTTGCTCTAGGCCTGAATTGAAGGTGGTGTACAGAAGCATGTCAAGAGCCTGACCTAGGCTTCCCACCCATTTTCAGCAAGAGCAGTGCGTGAGGGCAGCTCCGATAACCTGGCTTCTCAAACATCAGTAGGCTGGACTACCTGCAGAAAATGACATGCGTGAACTGTTGTTTGGGTGCCCCAAATGTCAAAACCTGGTATTGTGTGTTTTCAGTTTCTCTTCCTGCCGTGAGGTGCCAACATAATAATATTTATATTAATAATATAAATAATTTATATCATTAGGTTTGCCTTTTGAGAAGTGCAATAGTATTTTCATTCTGGAAAAGAGGCTCTAGAAATACCACTTAGGACTTGAGGGATAGATAAGAAAACAATTTTGTAATATAAGAACTTGTCATCAATTAGGTTTGTAACTGCTCAGAACACGCTTGTCCAGGTCAGAACCTAGTTGAGCTACCTAAAGCCAGTCTGAAGCAATTAAAACTGTTAAAAATGAGACTGAAATCATTTTGGTTAGAAACATCTGGCTTTAGACCAGCTGGTGGTGTGGTTGTCTTTACCCAGTAGTGATAACATGGGATTGCAGGGTGGGGCTGGGACTATAACCTGCTGTGGACTAGAATTATTTTATACTGAAAGATGATGCCATTAATTCTAGGCTTTGACTAATTGAACTACAAGCTCAGATTAGGAGCCTGACACCATCAATACTCTGCCCAAATCTTGAAAAACCTCTCTCTTGCCACTGTGAAAACCTGTCTGCTCTGTGAACCCATTTATTTCCTTGCAGCATTCTTACTCTTCAGAATTCTGGTCTCTGTTAAGATAGACTAGCTTAGTCAGTGTGAGCAGTTTTGTACAAACTCTATATAGTCTCCAGATTTACTAAAGATTTTTTCCAACTGAAATCTGTTTCATTGATGGGCCATGGATGGTTTTGCTACCAGGTCCTTGGGGTAAAACGGGAAGTGAGTTTTTCAACCCAGGAATGCTGCCATTCATTACACCTGTCCTTGCTGTTTATCATGGTCCCCTTTGCCACTTCTCCTTTCTCCCGACCCTCTTTCTAGACATCAGTACATGCCAGCTGTTCTTGTACAGACATGAACTTTACTCTGGTGAGTACAAATTTTTGAATGTCTATAGTTGAGTTAACTCATAAGTAAAAAAAATAAATAAATAAAAATAAAAATAAAAAAATTAAGAGAGATTTTTGCTATAGGGTCCTTGCAGTCACTGGAGACAGAGAGACAGAAAGTGAGGAATCACTCCCCTGGGGGTATGACCACACAGCAATTCCTTCTCTTCCCTTCTCTTGGGATCTTGGGCATACATGCATATGTGCCTGGTGTGAGTTTTAAGCTGCCAAGTCTGGAACTTGAACCACGGTCTGCTATGTGGGAATCCAGTGATGTAACCATTATGCCATCTGCTGGTCTCCATAAGTAAAATTTTAAGGGTTGATTCGGCACTGGTTTAAGCACCAACACATTGATTTTGATGTTTTTGATGACCATTTTACATTCCTAGTTTTGAACTGTTTGAACATTTAAAATCAAAGTCAGTTTCAAATAGTTCAGACTGTTTTGAATCAATTTATTTATAGTAGTCTATACCAGTAAAAACCATGTAATAGATTACTTCAAATTGCTATAAATGGTTTGATAAAATTGGAGCAAGTACAATCCAATCAGAAGTAGATTTAATTGGTCAGCACCATCTTGATTCAGTAAAATATACTCTGAACCAAGCAAAATTTATGTGCACTGCTCAGAACCTGCTTGTCCAGGTCAGAACCTAGTCCAGGAAGCTAAAACTGGTCTGAAATAATTAAAACTGTTAAAAATGAGACTGAAATTATTTTGGTTAGGCACATCTGGCTTTAGATACTTGGTGGTGTGGTGGTTAAGGTAGCTGGACCCCATATGACTGATTGCAAGGTTCAAGTTCTGGACCCAGTGACTTGAAAAACATTCTGGGCATGTGTGTGCACTTGCTTGAAATCCCAAAAGGAGAATGGAAGAGAAGGGGTTTGCTGCGTGACCACCCCTAATGCAGGTTGCTTTCTCACTATCTCTCTCTCTCTCTGTCATACTCTGACAAATACATACACCTTCTTACAAATTAAGGAAG